CTGATTTCCTTTGGATAAGAAAAACTGTCAAAATCCGATTACAACAAAACACTCTGTTTGCAACATTAAGCATTGCAATTAAGATTGGTTCTCAGACAAAATTTAGCTTACGAGTGTGCTTTGTTCCATAAAAGAAAGGATGTGAACTTAGATAAAGATAACAAAGAAAAACGCATGAGACAATGAATTTGAGGGATGTAAAATTGGTTAAATGATTCATGACATTGTTACAATTTGTGTGATTGATTAGTGCATTGGTTTATTTAATCATTTTATTTCATTTGGAGCTTCGCGATGTTCAAAATTCGCGGCAATATATAATTTGTCATCGTAATAATTATTGATCTTTTAAAAGCTGGAAGTATTAATGATTGCTGATATTTGTTAATCAATGTTATCACAAAGGGAAACAAGAGATAAAGAGGTAAGAGATTTCGTAGATAGCAAAAATCTCCAACCGTGAACAACCATGTTTATATCAATGGAGTGAATGGGGTCCATGCTCGGAAACATGCTCGTCCTCTTCACGCCTACCATCTCGATCACGATATGTCCTTAATAAAACCATTGTCCAAGCTCGTGGTCGTTTCCCAAGCTGTCCCAGAAATTTGGAAACAATGGCCGAACATATGCCTTGCAACGTTTATCGGTAAAGTTCCAAATATTTTAAAAAATACTGAATTGAAATTATATTCTTGTCATTCCAAAAGACCTTTGTGAAATCTTAGATGTCATCCAAGATCACTGATATTTGTTGTAGCATAGATTTCAAATAACTCATTGGCTCGAAAATATTGCAGTATCTCAAATAATTTATTAAACGTATTTTAGATGTCCGGTGGCTCTTAGTTCCTTTACTACCTGGACCCAATGTTTTTACAAAGATCCTAATATTCGTAAACCAGGTGGTTGCTACAGAATGCGCGATCTTCCTACCACAAATCAGCTTATCTATATCGATACTGATGAACTTGTTAGTGACTGCGATTGTCCCGATCATATTGTCTAAATACTTTTGTTTTCATGCTTCAATTTTACAGATATTCTACTTTGCTGAGTAGATATAATCATTTGTTGTACTAATTAGTTATTTAAATAAAAAGTAATTAACTGGAAAATAAACTTGCTACATGACCGTCTTTAATGACCGTCCGTTAATAGATTTCAATTTTTCGATAATACTTGTCCTATCGTTTTCACAATATACGATCATTTACGACGATCAGACAAATCCGCAGGCGATACAAATCAGAAATTCATGGCTATAAAACAATCTTCTTTTTAAAAAAAAAGCTGTGTTTCGAACTTTCCAGAAATTATGTCTGTAAAAGAGTATCTTTGTTTTAAAAACCGCGGAAAGATTTTTGAAGCAATACAGAGACAGAAATGTTTGTAGAAATCACGGCTATATAGGTGAATAGCAATCTAAAGCAAAATGGAAAGATAAAAAAAATTTCATGAAGATTCTGAATGAGAGATTCAGTAGATGTTACTATCCTAGTTGAACAGCTTTTCTATTTGTAACAATTTACATTTTTGATTTATTTGATCATGAACAATTCTTCAATAACTTTGAACTTGTTATCAACCGAATTTGCCTGAAGACAAAAGTTTTTTAATACATATGTATATACCGGCAGTTTTTTTTAAATTTATAATTCAGTATAATTTTATGTAAATTCGAAACGGATGAGTCACCAGTTATTTTGAAAAAGTAATATAAAACTGAGTAAAAAATTAAAGCATTGCCTTATATCAGTCGCCGCAAAAAAGTGGTAGCTACTTTTAAAATGAATCCAGTCGTTTCACAGGAGTTACAGAAAAGTAACATTTATTGGCTGTTCCTTATTTTATTATTGTTCCTTATTTTATGTGGTTTATTCAGCTGAAAGGAATTTGACATCGGAAGCTGGGAATTCTCAAAATTAATACTGAAAATGGGAATATCATCACGAGGAATATAACTATTTTTTGTATTAGTTTTATATCGGATACATCGATCGGCTTCTCATAAAGTGAAAAGAACTGAATCTTATGGAAAGTGAAAAAAACTAAATGTTTTAATTGACAAAAAAGTAAGACAATAAGCTATGATTCATATGATTATTAGGAGAATTTCAGAAGATGAAGATGGGTTGCTTAATGCAAAGATCGTATATGGATATGCGCAGAAATCAGCGCTTTCCAATAAGAATGGTGTGCTTCCTGAACAGGAAGAGATCGAACAAAAGACTCTTGACGAAGAACCTGAAATGAAAGAGGGATGCTTAACACAAGAGGTAACTTTTTCACTAAATGTTTACAGGCAAAACATGCGTGTCGAAAGAACTGCTTTGTTAAACCTACGTGAAAAATAATACATGAGGTAGAGACTTTCAAATTTTGAAGATTAGAAATTCGTAAAAAAGATTTTTTAGCTATCTGATGTAACTGAGATTGAGGAAAATGTCGCTTCTTCTTCTGTATCCTTTTCATACTATCTATATAAGGTAATTAATGTTTTTTTTCATTAAATTAAATTAATTCTCACTCCTATTCCCTTTATTTGATGATTCTAATTATTTTCCATAAGATTATAATTTATAACAACTGATTAATTCATACAATTATTTTGATCAATGTCCTAATGACCTAGCAAATTAATTATTTCATTAATAGTTATAATATCCTATCTTTTGACTGTTGGATCTTTTCTCGATAAAGTTTAACATTTTGCAAACCTTACCACTGTTCGCAGCGAATTATACATGATCCACGTGTACGGATGTTGACTACATTGAACCTTGTGATAATTTTGTTATGCTTTTGCTTATTTATAACTATGACAGTTTTCCTAATCAAGGCACTTGCCGTCAACAATATGGTATGTTCAACACTTTCTAGTCACGAATTAATTCATGTTTGAGAGATTAGAATTAATTTCACATTTATTTCTAATTTCCATTAATGAGATCAGTTGAAATTGAGTTAAATTAAATCTCTGAGGCTCAGTGAAAAATCAGTAAACCAATTGCATAACTGATTTCTAAGAGTAGCAAATATTTATAAGTCACACGAAAACAGTAAACCTCAAAGTTTTCACGCCTTTCTTTGTCCAGCATGTATATGATCAACAAACTTTTAAAGTAATCGTGTTCTATTTACACGTTATCAATAGCTGATTAGTACTAATTTATTATCGTGAAGTAAAGTAAATTCCTGAAAATATTTTCGTGAACGAATAAACATCTAAGCATAGAAATAATGATGCAGTTGTATTTTGCACTCAAGCTAGTGTACTTTTGCTTAATTAGGTCTTCATAAGAGCTAATGAAAAAAGCGGGAGTTGACAGATAGCAAAAATTTCGGAAAATGAATTGCCATGTATGTATCAATGGAGTGGTTGGAGTGCGTGCTCAGAAACATGCATGAGTACCTCAGAAATGCCTTTGCGATCACGTCGTGTACTTAAAAAAAGTATTGTTCGCTCCCGTGGCAAATTTCCGCCTTGTCCTGAAAATTTGGCAGCAATGGTTGAAAGGATGCCTTGCAATATTTATCGGTAGTTAATGAATTTTTTCAAATTGTACTTTTTCAAAATAAAATATATTTCCAAAGACAAATTAAATATTTCTCATTTGTATCTAAATTGAGTAAATTGCAGATGTCCAGTCAATCTCAGCTCAATCACTGGATGGACCCAGTGCTACTACAAGAATCCAAGCGAAGGTGAGTCAGGTGGTTGTTACAGAATACGTGATATTCCCACTGTTAATCAACTCATTTATATCGATACCACAAATGTTATGGAAGATTGCAAATGTCTTACTGCTATTTTTTAAACTCCCGTTTCGTTTCCCGAGCGTATGTTTATCTTGCACTCAAAAAACGTTTCTGTAAAATAAATATTTCATTCATTAGAAAGTTTCTGTTTATTTTAAAAAAAAAGTATTTCACTCGATCGCTTGGGCTTTTAAAGGAGACTTGTGATTTTACTGTTAGTTCAGAGTCTGATTGCTAAGATGTTAACCCCGGAAAATGTAATTAATATTTTTACTCGATAATATTTCGTTGTTGGATACTGATGATACTATGATTTGCATACTATTCAAAAAAATGATCCGGCTTTAAATCTACTTCCGCTTTTCCGAACGTGATGTTACAAATCTCTTCTGGTTTTCCTTCACAGCAGTCAATGCAAGACTAGTTACAAATGAAATGAAATTTAAAGTAACAGTGGCCATTTTATGCATTACATTGTTTTTTTCCAAAGAATATTGTATATCTGGCTTCAAATTACTGTAACCAAAGATGCTTAGGTGCTCTTGCTGTTATCAAAAAAAAAAGAAAAAGGAAAGAGAAAACTCATATGGAAGATAGAGTATAGCGATAAAAAATAACAATTAAACTAGAAAGTTAAAATTCAAAAATAAAAATCCACAAAAAAAGTAGCATCAAATTATCATTTTTATGTGAGAATTTCAGTAATTCCTGTTGTTGTCTCCGATTGCAGCTGTAATTCGCATGTGCTACCATAGGTTCCGTTGGGGCAAGTCCGGCATTCTATCAGTGCATCTCCGTTTATAAAACAGTCCCCGCCATCTCTTCAAATTAACATATTTTCAGATTTTAAAATGAAAACGAGAGGACCTTTATGAAAAACGTTAGAATATAAGAGACATATTTAAAACAACAATACAGTATACATGTAGTACAACATACTGCAATTAATCGTAAACTGCTTATGAAAAAATGAAGATATTCTCAAATCTCACGAAATCTATCTCCTATTCCTTAATGAGTAGTGTCGAAACACTATGGAGGCAAATAATAAAAGCCCAAAACGATTACTTTCTATCGTCAGTGGACCATCCAAAACCTAATTGGCATATGTTTGAAAGGGGGCAAATAATTTCCTATTGAAATACCAACTGTTTCTGCTGGATATCTCCGAATATTTCTTCTTAGCTTCTTCTAAACAAAAAAAACTTACGGGCATGGACATGGGATACAGTCTTCTACAGTGCCTTGTGTCGCATCACCGTAAAAACCTTCTGCGCAATTCTCACATTGGTTTCCAGTTGTGTTATGCAAGCAGGACTATAATGAGAGTTAATCAGTTCTGTTAACAGTAATTGTTTGAAAACGGTCCAAAGAGATGTCTCCTAAAGGTACGAATTCTGATAACGTATTGAACTCATTTGTTTTCTTAGCTGCCTTCAAATACTACAGATGTGAAATTTCTTGATATATCACTCTACCAATCTCTTTCATTCTATCAATTTGTTCCCTCTGATCTTTCCTGCTTTATAAAGTGATCCTTCAAATGACTCATTTAATTATTTCAAGAATGTGCTGCTCAACTGAATTCGTCATAATGTTCCAACAGTCGACTGATATCATTGTAAAAAATTTAATGTTGAAAAATGAAGGGATAAAATTATTACAAAACATTCTCCGTGTTCATTGCACTGTGTAGAATGCTTGTTGCACAAACATTTTATGAACTCATTGCTTTTTCCAACTGATACACAGCCTATTTGGCCTATTAAAGCACTACCCTCGAATCCATCTAAACACCTGAAAGAATATTTGATCCTGCAACATAAGCATGGCAATATGCTTGATGTGCTGATGATAGCTGTGGCAGTGGCGAAATTTGATCTCGCAATGCTTATTTTAAATGGTTGAAGTTCCTCAAATAAGAGACTGCTTGATCTGTCAGTCTATTTCTTGTTTTCCACTGATTAAAGTTGTTATTCTGGTTTTAAAATAAATCATAACAATAATGCTTTGATAAATAAATTTTGATTTTGAGCTAAATTCTACAGCTTTATCATCAAGATTCCATCCTGCAATTGACATTTTGCTTAGCTTACTTTTCGCATTGTACTCCAAATGTATTATCAGCACAGTTCAAGCACTCGTGAGTAAATGGACCACAAATAGACGAATGACCATTGCAAAAGCAATCGCCTTTATAACCAAGATAGATCCGATTGCAAATCGGAATGGATTTTCTGAAAGAGAGGTTAGCAAAGTGAATTGGAATTTCTCAAAGTGATTAGCTAAGTGCCATATAAGACTTACTCAGCTTTTAATCGATTTTTCATATCCTTTATTTCAGCAGCATACGTTGCCAATTCAGCACTTAGCATTTGTGCCGTGAAGTTTCTGTCCAATCGATGCTCTTCCAATTTCTGCAGAAATTGCCAAAAATTATGAATAATTTGTAAAGCGAAAAATGAGCGGAAATAGTAACATAAAATACAGAATTATAGCGAAATTGTTCTTTGTTCCTTTGTAAAGTGTAAATTTTATATTCCCATAAAATTTTACAGTAGCAATTTCATTGCCAAACATCCGGCGAACAAATCGTTTACATTTAGATTCGATGATTTTTTGTGCATCCATTTTCTTTTTATGTTCAGCTTTTTCATAAAATTCAAAAATGCGTTCATAAACGGCATCATCACTTATTTCATGATCTTGAATCAAGTGACCCAGTTCGAGTTTCTGGAAAAGAGTGGGCTGAAGTTATGCAAACAGTAATATATTTCATTTCTTGGAATTTGTCAATTCGGAAGAATTCCAATAGTAATGAAATGATCAGACTAAAACAATACAATGAAGTCTTACTTTTTAAGTTCTCATAGAAATTAATTTCATATTTCAATGTAAATTTTAGCTTCATATTAACAGAACCAAACCTGATCGGCAGATAGCCAGGATGTTAATTCTCCAAGATCGAAACTTTCAATACCGTATATCTTCTGACAAAAAATGCCTACTTGTTCCCCTTCGATACGCTGATTTTCATTTGTCAAATTTCCTACCAGCTGAGCAAATTTAGTAACTAATAGTTCCGTGGATGTTGACTGTTTGTTCATTGATTTGAGTATTTCGAGACCATCGATTCCGAGAAGCTGCTTCACTCGATTTTGACAGAGCTGCTTTAATTCTCTGAAGATTTCAAAACTAACCAAATTATACCGAAGCTCGGGTTAAAATAGATTCAGGTTCCGTTCGATTTGTTTTGATGTGTTATACTGTAGTCTCGAAGAGCTTTCTTCTGTCCTACTAATATCATCATATTTATGACGAGCTCTATATCTTACTCCAATTTTGTCTTGGTAGATCAACTGTTTAATCAATGCGACAAAGGATCCATAAATGCTAAAACTGCACCTCTACCTTGAACTGAAAAATGGAATTAAGATGAGTTTACCGGCATTGACACCACAAAAGCAATTATTTGAGTCAAGTAATCAGCAATCGAAAAATAATTTCAGCACATTTTGATTAACTATTTTGAATCTTTAATTGATATTATTTTTTTTTTTGAATGAGATATAAATTTCTAACACTTATTAATCTCCTTAAAACAGAAAAAAAAACTTTACTCGGATACTTTTTCTTGGTTTGACGAATCGAGATTTTCGTAGTATTCTAAAATTTTTGCTAAAAGATTTTCATTACTTGCTCCTTCAGCCAACATCTTTTCAATTTCGGTTTCCTAAAATTTGCACCACTTTCCAAACTCTTCGAAAGCATATTATGTTCGAACTTGAGATGATCGAATCAAATAGTTTCCATTTTTGAACTTTACCTGTTCCCTAGTGAACCAAAGCATTTGTTTGACGAATAAATTATCCTCGTTGATTTTTCTTGGCGATCGCACTGATGGAAACCCATAAATATTATAGATTAGCATGCAAGTTGGAGCAATCTGAAAGTTTACTTTGGAATCCAATTTCTTTCTCTTGACAGACAAGGAATCTCTGCATCATTTCATATTAAACATTAAAAGCCTTACTGTTTTGCGCTTATCATTTTTACTATTTAGTCTTACTTTTACTCTTATCAAGGTGCTTTTTATCCCGTAAAACTTTGTGACTCAGGTGTCCCATTTCAGGTGCTTGAATTTTCGCAGCAAATTTTTTTTTTCAAATGAAATGTTTACCATGTTAGCATACTTTTTATTCGTTTCACTCAATTGCACATAAAACTGATTCAGTTTTCTGACAATTTCATCTCCTGTTCGACCAAACTCATACATATCGGCAACTAAATCATAATTTTGTTCGCCCAATATTACTTGTAATAGTTCTTTGCATGTTTCTCGAAAGCTTCGCACTGCCTATAGATTACAATTTGGGACTGATAATTGTAACCATCAATTAGTGTGAAATTGATCAACGTAATCACAATTAAATGTTTACAAATCAATCCGTTGCTTTTTTATCAATTAAATGGGAAATTTTACAGAGAATTTGAAGCGAACTTCTATTCTGTCCAAATTTCTGTAGAATATAACACGCGCAGAGAGAGGAGAGGAAGAAAGAAAGAGAGAGAGAAAGAAAGACAGGAAAGACCAAGAAGTGATAATTGATTTGATCACCAGGGATACAGACTATCACAGTTTTTCAGTTCTAACAGGAGAAGTCTAGTATGGTCCAGCATTAATTGTGATCCTGTATGAGATCAAGTTACAAACTAGGTCGAATGAATAATTACGACAATAATTATAAAATTATGAAAACAGTATTAAAATTAATTTTCGGGGATAGTGAAGAGAAGATCAAATAGAATGTTACTCTAAAAAGCATTTCTTTAGAGTTTACAATTGAATGAATATTAGAATGGCAATTTTCCTTTTATTTATCTTTGAATTTTTACTTTATTCATTAACAAAGAACAAAAAAGCGGTAGTTTAATTCTGATGCTGTATGAGTTGTTGCGATAAAAATCCCGAAATGTACAGCTGAAATTTGAAAATCACCCTACTACTTACCATTTCTCGCAATCCACCATCGGTCATGAGTAGTTGAGCGTATGCTTTTTCTAACACCAACGCTATATCACCTGTTGTTTTATACAACTTGTTTAGCATATAAACCTGTTCTATGGTCAACCATTTCCACATATTCAAATTACCAATTCGTTCCCATTTTACAATTTTACCTTGTTCTGTATACCTGTCAACCAGAATAACCAACACCACATCTCCTAAAAACAGATTTAAGCAAACTCAAATGAAAAAGAACAAAAACTTTTGTAATCAGTAATGATTTAAGGACATAACTATCCAATGGCATTGACACTACGACACATTGAAGCATTATCGGTAATGAGTGCAATCATAGTTTTGTCATTTCCCTCTTCATTCTGCACCATACAAAATTTCTTTTTCCTAAACAGTTATTACGTAAGAACAAAGTAATAGAACGAAACTAACTTTCATCTGACTCGAAATTCTGAGGTTCCATCCGTCGAATCGTCGGTTTCGTATTTCGCTCCACTCGTTTGGTTACTATTGGTGTTATCCAGTGTTTTGGCTGCGCAGCTTCTGTAAGGAATTTGTCACCATAGTCATCTTGGGCCATTAGTGATATCCTTCGAAATTCATTTCGAAGCTGTAATGATGATTTATTTTGCATCTCTAATAAGTCTATTTGAGCTAAATATGAGATGTTTTCTTTTTAGCCAGGATTTAACTTTGTGCACTGAAAATTTTAAATGAAAAAATATTCATAATCAATTTCTGTCATACAGCCTTTGACTTTTCGCATTTATCACCAGTCGATTTCTGGACACATAAGTAGCCAGTGCAACTTCACTGAGGAATATAATAATCAATCTGATAATGTAAGGAATTGAGATAAAGAAATATTGTCACTTTTGAAGAGCAGAGAACAATGATAATCAAAATAAAAAACATGCAAACACTGCGAAGAAATAAATGAAGATAAAAGAAAAATCGAGGCTTGAATGAATGAATAGTGCAAATCTATATGACGTAAGATAGCTTATAAGATCAATATGACTTATAAGAGTAGGACTGAGTACCTCAGTTATTAAATGTTCTCATCGAAAATTAAAAACACCTAGCGACTAAGCACTAATTTTTTCCCAGCTAAATTATATGCGTCTTTATATCACACAACGAGAGAAATGAAGCTTTGATTTCAAAAATTTCAAATCACTTAAAATAGTAGAAGGATCTCAATTAGGATTATTTTTATATCTTGACCGAGAAATTTGTCTTTCCATAGAGTTAAATTAATTTTCTTCATTCGCAACAAAGCTTTCAGAGGAAACATTTTTTCGAATGTACCATGAAGTAGTTTCTTTCTATGCACAATTTTTTCCCACAAAATTTCTGCACATTATCAGAATTGTAAAATCCGTTACTTTACATCTAAATCTAAGCCGTGTCACGTGAAAAGTGATGGAGTTACATTAGGCATGTCAGGATTCATCGATTCATCGATTAGATTTGCAAAACTTAAGATTTTAGTAGGAAGGAAGTTGACCAGTAAGTGTCAGTTCAAATTTACAGTCTTGCTGTATTGCAAAACACTGTTTTTGTTAGATAGCTTATTGGGCAAAATAGTTCATCTAAATAAAAGAAATGATAACTTTGCATATTCTAATCATACTGGTATTATTTGATGCTCAAATTTCTCAGATTATTAAGTCTCGGATGATTTGTCAAATCAGATCGGTGGTACAATCTTTGGTCATACTGTTTTTATTAATATTTTTATTATTTAATACTTCGGAAATTGGTATTTCTGATTATTTTTATTATGAAGTTGGGCAATCGCAATATTCGATGAATTAAGTTTAAAAATTCTTCAAATTGCATCTCAGATTTGATATTCGACAAGTTTTCAAAAAACAAACCAACCGTAATAAACTTGGGAAAAAGGCATAGAAGGCAGAATTTTAAAAGAAAAAGCCACATGGTTGTAGTGCCGCTGATGATACCACGGATGAATATTACTTGTAGAGAATGGGAATATTTTTGCAGATGGGTAGAAAAGCTCAAGTTCGAGCTCCAGTTTATCAGTTGGATTATCATCCCCTCCTTCCTGAAAGCTTTAAGAGTTCTGTGGGGAAGCACATAATTTATCAGACAACATTTGCAAATAACTTTTGAAATAGAACAACTGACGCTCACTTATCATACAAATGAAAAGGAAAATCACTTCCAAACTTCCTTCTCATTTCTCGAGAAAATTCTTTTCAAAGCCTTTCACAAATTTCTTTCTCCAGTGCAAAGTCTAAGTGAGCAAATTTAATTTGAAATTATTGCTAAAAAAATTTTGCACAAATCACTCTTTAACTGTTTGCTTAAAATTGATGGCTCCAAAATTGGCTAATATGATAAAAGAATTCAATCTTCATTACTTATCACAGTTATACGAAAAAAACGATTGTGTTAATTGAAGCCTATCACTTCCTAAATTTTGTTGCAATCAGCAAATTTAGATGAAAGTAAAGATTCCAGAAAAATTATAAAAAAATATTGCCTTATTTCATTTTGCTTTTGGAAAAGAAATATGCAATCCGAAAGTTCATAAATATGAATGCTTTTTACGCCCAGTGTTTATTAATTCATTTTATTGAATAATGTATTATGGATAAAATTATCACACAAGAAAAATTAAGTTTCAAGTCAAAACTTAAAATTTCAACTGCTGCACTGCAATTTATTAACAAACTCATCAAAGCGTTACCTGTGGATTTCTTCATAATAAATGAAATTTGGACCGAAATATTATATTTTATCGACGATTCTGCCGTATAATTACTTCTAACGTAAAAAGCGAATTTAATGGGAGCAATTCCGTTTCGCAGTAGTTTATTTTAATGGGAAGTGTACTGAATTTTATAAAAATGGCCAAATATTTCATTTTTGAAATTAACATAATCGGAGCAGAGAGACCACTCATCAGAGTTTCAGTAGTCACGGCAATTATTGCATACTTTAAAGAAAAACTTTAGCTATGGTAAAAATATTTAAGGCGTTTTTGAGAAGTGTATAAAGATGATTAGCTAACTGCTGATGCAACAAAACTCAAATTTCATCACAAAGAAATTGATTCATTTGCATTTCTTTATTCATCTAAGAAGCAAGAAACAAGAAAGTGATGTCGAGAGATTGGAGAAGTAAAGAACATACAATAAATGCAAAAAGAAAAGTGCGCAATGAACAAGCTTCTTCAGATTATGCTGGATCTATCTAATCTGATCATCATTTCGTTGTTGTAACAACATTCTGTGCCAAACAAAATTCTTTTTAAAGTGAAAAAAATACACTGAGAATATAATTATTTCAAAAAATTTCTTTTAAGTTGCCACATTTGGTGACATATTCAACCAAATACGTTGTTTCTTGAAGGATGCGTGAGAATCTTCTCCCAAATATCGTTTGAAACGATTGGAAACTCTGAAAAAGAAAATACTTATTGGGATAAATCCAATAAGGCTTCTAAATACCCAACCATATTTTTGATTAATAAACATGCGTCAAGTAAGCGTGAACCTCGCTTCTGTCTGGATAAACGAATACTGTAGAGTTGCATGCATGGCGTTACGTAAGCTTTAGCATAAGCCTTCTTCGATTGATCATCTACAGAGTCGATTATTGAAATGATTTTCTCCTCGATCTTCTCGGCAGTCAAATCGCTTTGTATCATAACATGCAGCTCATCAGCTTTCTCTTCACCGCCAATCATTTTGAATAATTCGTAACAACCTTCCAATAGTGATTCTGTGGCATATTTCTTCGTTTCACCGCTTGCACGTTCAAAAAACTCAAAAATTTTAGATTGGATTTCTTCGCGACTTTTTCCTGCAATCAGATATGAGCAGCACAGAAAATGAGAGATAATAATTAATTTTAAATTTCTTGGAATTATTGAGTGACTAAAAAAAATCACTGTTAAACATATTGTGATGAACTGAGGACAGAAATAATTCAATATGCAAGGATATCTCGTGATAATTTCGTGCAAATTTAATTATCTAAAAAAAATCTAATGCCTACATTTTAATCTTGAAGAAAATAACTTCACTGAAAATTCAATGGAACAAAAACTGACCGTCAGCACTCATTTTCTTGATTTCTTCCTTTTGTGCTTCGGGAAGCCATTTCAAATGCGTACGAAAATAATGTGCCAGTGAATGTTCATTATGTTTATGTTGGTAATCAACAAAGATCTTTTGGCAAATTGAGCCATATTCTCGTGCTTTGGCTCTCCTATCCTCATCCTTAACCTCATCAATCATTGCATCCATCTTGCGCCTAATTTCATCGGCAATACCAACTGATTTTCTCAGTTCCTTCAGTTCTGTTGCTTTTTCATCACCAAAAACGTGCGCAATCATATCGTTACATGGACCGTTCAGGAATTCAGCCGTTTCTTTTTTAGCTTCTTCATTTAGACTTTCGTAGAAGTGCAATACTTTTTCTCGAATATCTGCTTCCGATTTGTTTTCCTCCTTCATCTTTAGTAGCTCATCCTTTTGTTCCTTTGTGAGCCATTTCAGATCTGTCTTGAAATGTTCCTCCAATGAATGTTTATGACCCATCCTTGTAAAAATTCTCATGCATCCAGATCCGTAAATTTTAATTTTTCCTTCTTTTCTTCGTCTATTATTTCATTCAACATTGCATCAGCTTTCGCTTTTAAATCATTCATATTTGCACCCGAATCCTTCATTTTTGCCAATTCATTGTAGCGATCTCCACCAACAACATCTTTTAAAATTTGTCGACAACCGTCGTATAACCGTTCAGTGACATGCTGCTTTGCTTCTCCAAATAATTCTTCGTAATAATGAAACATTTTAGCAATCATATCAGCCCTCGATTTACCATTCTTCTTCATTTCCCTCAATTCCTCCCTCTGCTCCACCGAAAGCCACTTTAAATTCTTCTCAAGATAATTATCGATTGAATTACCTTTGTGTTCGCGTTTTCTTCTCACCAGCTGTCTCAAATCGAAGATTCTGTTACAAGCGGTTTGATATGCCTTAATTTGTGCAAACTTTGATCTATCCGTTGCAGCTGACAACATTTTCATCATCTCGCTCATTGTAGAACTATCATTTTCCAAAGCTTCTAATTCACTTAATCGATTTTCGTAGACCAAACTGCGAACGATTTCTTCACAACTTAACCTCAAGCGCTCTCCCGCATTTTTCTTCTCCTTTCCAGGAAGAATTTGATAGTAAAAAAAGATAGCTTTCAGTATATCGGCTCTTGATTTGTTTCCCCCTATAATTTTTCGAATTTCGCCTTTTTCTTCGTCAGTAAGCCATTGCAAGTAAGGACTGCTGCAGTGTTTTGTGCCATTATTTGCCTGATTCCGCTTATTCCGCATCACAGGTGTTCCGTAGATTTTATGGCATGCAGGACCATATTCCTGAATTTTTTCCTTTTTTGGCTCATCAGTAACATGTTCCAACATATGATCCACTTTGGCTATCAGTTCCTCTATACCTACGCCCGAATCTTTCATCTGTTTTAGTTCAGCCATCTTCTCATCACCAACAATTTGCTTCAGCAATGCGCGGCAGCCTTCTCGAAGCTTCTCACTAGCTTCCTTCTTTTCATCACCGGTTAGACTTTCGTAATAATCAAAAATTTTCTTTTGCATATCCGCTTTCGGTTTTCCTTCTTCCTTCATTTTCCTAATTTCATCTTTCTGGATATCCGTGAGCCAGCTTAGATGCGTTCGGAAGTACTCATCCAAATTGTGTTCATGATGATCCCGCTTATGTCGATCCCCATAGATTTT